TAAACATTGTCATAGAAAATTTGCAACTTATTCGTCCCGAGTGCAGCGGACCACAGGTGACTTGTGAGCCCAGAAGTCATCATCATCACAAGGCTCCAGAAGATTTAGTGGAATTACAAAAGAATTTCGAAGGAATTGCAACCACCATGAAATGTCTGCTAAGCAATGGCCAGACTGATAACCGAATCTATGGTATTATAGCTCGATCCCTGATGAGATATCATGAGAGTCATTACATTCCCATGAGCACAGCAGCCATAACGGGGATGGAGACATCACAGGTGCTGCAGCAACTAAAGGAGTTGGACAATAAATGTCAGTTCCAAAACCGCAACGAAGGAATCTGCCCCCAACATGATGCACTTTTTCCACAACAGACCATAAATCGTGATTTAGCCATGGCTCAGAAACTGGGACTATTGGGCGCCACTCTAGAATGTCTTACACACTTTTACAGTCCTCAAATCGGCGAACGTATCTACAAAGTATGGGATGGCAATTTAGAACGCATTCAAAAACATGCGATCCTTAAACTGCCTGATCACATTTTCATGGATTTGATCAATGAAAAGGCCAATGTCACTTTGAAAGACTTGCAATCCATACATCCTCATTGCTCCAATATTCCATATGAATGTGTATCACACAATGATTTCCAAATGACAAATGTACCGCAGGAGGTTTACAATTTGCAACATAATTTACAAGGCATTGGAGCTGTAATTGGATGCATTCTAAAAAAAACACAAATTGAGCCGAGAATTCATCGAATTTTTGCCCAGGCCTTTGTTTGTTATCATGTCAGCCATGAAGATTCCAAAACGTCTTTGGTAATAACTGAAGCTGAAACTGCCCATATTCTTGCGGATTTGAAACAATTGGATGGAAATTGTCAGATGATGGCAGCTACAGAGGAAACTTGTTATTAATTTCAGTAATTAATTACCATAAAAATTAAAAGTTTAAAAGTTTTGAAATAAAAAAAAAATAAATATTTTTAAATGTACTCTGAATCATGGTGTATTTATAAGGTGTTCGCATCAGCTACAACAACTAAAATTTTACAATAACAACATTGTTGTTATAGGAACTATAAAGTCATTCTGACAATTAATTCGGATACAAGGACAAAAACAAATATAAACCAGTAAGGAAAGTTTTAAAGTCGGGTGGGGCCGACTTTATGATACCCTACACCACTTTGCTAATTTAGAAGAGCCCCACATAACAATTAAAAGTTTTTATGGGAGAATTCAATCATACACGCTATGATTATAATTATAATTTAAAGTTCAAAGGACTAAAAATGCCGAAGTATCTTTTAAATTCGGACTTGTGTTGCCCATTTGGTGCACAAATAATTTAAAATCGGATAAAAATATATATGGGAGATACATCCAAATCTGAACCGATCTCGATAAAATTTGGCGAAGATATTTCTGAGCTGTATTTGATATATTTCCCTGAATATCGTTGTTATCGAGTGCATATTACGGTTGTGGGTAACAAAAATATAACAAATCGGATGAACAATATATATGTAGGCTATAGCTATATCTGAACCGATCTTCACCAAATTTGACATACTAGCTTCTAGACTCAATTCGGTCGTAAGTGCCAAATTCTATCCCATTTAGACAAATATTAGACGTTTGGTGCACAATAAATGGTAAATCGGACGAAGTTATTTATGGGAGCTATATCCAAATCTGAACCGATCTCGATAAAATTTGGCAAAGGTATTTCTGAGCTGCATTTGATATATTTCCCCAAATAATGTTGTTACAGAGCGCATATTACGGCTGCGGAGGACAAAAATAACAAATCGGATGAACAATATATATGGGAGCTATAGCTATATCTGAACCGATTTCGATCAAATTTAGCATACTTATTTTCAGGGCTTATTTGGGTGTATATGCAAATTTCCATTCAATTCGGGCTGATATTACTCGATTGGTGCACAATAAAAGGTAAATCGGACGAAGATATATATGGGAGCTATATCTAAATTTTGACCGATTATCTCCAATTTCAATAGGGTTCGTCCATGGGCCAAACAAATGATCTGTGCAAAATTTCATCTGGATCGGGCAATAAATGCGACCTGTACTTTGTTTACAAAAATACATGGACAGACGGACGGACGGACGGACATGCATAAATCGACTCAGAATGTGATTCTATGCAGATCATCAAAAGGAACTATGGGTCTATCTCGTTTCCTTTTGCCTGTTACAAACAAATGCACAAATACATAATACCCTGACCACCTTGTGGTGTAGGGTATAACTAACAAAACATTTTGTTTAATAAATTATTTCTAACAAAGAGATTCTTAAAATATTTTTGTTAATCCTTAATCGCTATACCACGAGAAAACGAGATAGACCCATAGTTGCTTTTAGTGATCATCCGTCTGTCTGTCCATGTATTTTTGTAAACAAAATGCAGATCGCATTTATTATGCGATTGAGATGTAATTTCCTAAATAACATTTGTTTGGCTTAAGGGTGAACCCTATTGAAGTTGGTGAAAATCGGTCCAAATTTAGATATAGGTTTAGGTTTCTTGTGCCCCAAATGGCTAATATCAGTCCAAATGGTGTGAATTTTGCTACATCCAACCGAGCGTACAAACATGTGCTTCAAATTTGGTGAAAATCGGTTGAGATATAGCTATAGCTCCCATATATATCTTCATCCGATTTTAGGTTTCTTCTGCACCAAATGGCTAATATCAGTGAATTTTGGCACTTCAGACCGAATTTTGTATAGAAATAAGTACTTCAAATTTGGTGCACGATACAAGAATAATATTTGGTACCAAATATCAGATGCAGCCAAGAAATAGATGTTTTCAATTTTATGAAGGTCGGCTCAGATTTGGATATAGCCTTCATATATATCATTATTCGATTTCGGGTTTATTGTGCACCAAATAGGTAATATTAGCCCAAATGGAGTGAATTTTCGAAATTCAACCGAGTTTAGCAAATTTGCTCCCATATATATGTTTCATCCGATTCGGTTTTTAAATGTCCAACTTTCGAAATATGCACTCTACCATAATGATATTTTGTACCAGATATATCATAGAGCTCAGAAATTGCAATATAAACCTTTCTTTTACGAGAGTTCTACTAAATATGCATAGTGGTGTAGGTGTAGGGTATTAAATAGTCGGCCCCGCCCGACCCTTACTGTTTTTTTAAATTTCATTGAATGAAAGCAAACAATGTCGGAAAATACTCCAGATTCAATAGTCCAACGGATTGGCATCCGGAGATTTTGGTGGCCATTGTGCGCTGGAAATGAAGCGAGGAACCTCATTTTGTAACCATTCTTGGGTGGCGCGTGCTGAGTGCGATGGGGCTGGGTCCTGTTGGAATGTGCAAGGTCTGTGGCCAAAATGATTGCGTGAACTCCAGAATATTTTCGAGATAATATTCGGCATTTATTCTGATGCCACGGTCGATTAATACGATCGTAGAGCGACCATCGGCTGTTATGGCGGCCCACACCATCACCATGGCCGGCGCTTGAGTTCTTTTGGCCAACCGAAGGTGCATATTTTCAGCTGACCTCTTTGACAAGTAAACACAATAATTTCGTTTGTTTACAAACTGCTAGACTACGAATGTTTTCTCATCGGAGAAACCCAAATTCGTCAGTTCACCACCAAGCGAAGCAACTTCTTAGCTCTTTTGAGTCTATTTTCTTTCTGTTGCGGTGTAAGTTCTTGCACTTTTTGGAGTTTCAATTGCCTCACCCCGAGCTCATTTTTCCATAGTTGCCGAATGGAATATTGCGATATGTTCAGCTTACGAGCCATTTTTCGGCCACTGCGACGAGGGTTTTGATAAAGTCGCTTTTTTACTTATCGAACCATTTCCGCTGATGTTGCTGTTTTTTTCCGTTCACTTCCTTGACGTCGGACTACGCTACCAGTATCACGGTAACGAACGATGGTAAGAGACACGAAATGTTTTTTCACATTTAAATGCTGTAGTGCTCTAACGATAGCCACGTGTGGTTTTCCAGCCAAATATAAAGAAATCACACTATCACGCTTAAATTCCATCACGAATAACTTTTTTCTGAAAAATGCTCTTGTACGCTTGTAAACAATATAATGAGCTGTCACTAGAATAATTTTAACAGCTGTCGGACGAGTGGCCTGGAAATGACAGCAGTCTGAAGTTGATTGCAGCTTTTTCATCTCATCCTGTATTTGGCATTAGGTGAAGGGTTTCTATCCCTTTCAAATTTGATATTTAGATTACAGATGGTATCTGAGTTTGCGATTTGGCTTTGGTTTGGAAATTCGTTCCAGGTTAGTATGAAAATTACTTAATCGTACTAAATTTGGTATCGGGTGAAGGGATAGAGCTAAAATCCTTAAATTAGATACACATGTCACTATTGGTATCTGGGATTGAGATATGGAGTTTATGTTGGATATGTGTACTATATTTGTACAAAAAGTCCTAACATTTTACCGTGATTAAGCTATAAAATTTTTACATTGCGGTAATTGTACGAAATGGTACTAAATATCGAAATTGTCCTGCAATTTAATATTAAGATTAAAAATGCGTACTTTAACTGTACGACAAGAACTAAATACTGCTAAATATGGTAATAGGAGGAGAGATAGAGCTGATATCCTGAAATTTGTTATTGAGATTACTCTTGGATTCTAGGGTTTACATATGGACACAGTAATAGAATAAATAGTTTTGGACAAAAACGCTGGATGTGGGTCAACTGGGCAATGGTTTTACAATTATACTCTTCGGTAAACTTCAAAATAACCGATTTTGTGCGCACGAGCCAGACAGATGGACGGACATCCTTAGATCGTCTCCAAATGTCCTCAATAGTATTTGGTCCAAAGAGACCTAATGTCTAAAACACCCTTATTTCGATTAGGCACATTTTAGCCGTATCAAATGTAGCCATCTGGCTGAGGTTATAAAACTGATTTCAAAAACTTACCTCTACTTTTAAGTTGGCAGGAAATCTGCAAAACATAAAATAAAAAATAGTTTTAATATTTCGTCGATCAAAAATTTCGAAATATTATTTATTGCTTATAATTATCAGAAAATAAAATCATGGTAAATAATTGACTTCTAAAATAAAATCATAGCTATACCCTCATCATATCATCACAATGAAAACAAAAACGTCTCATCTTGAGTGGGTGGTGCACTCAGTTCTAAAATCGTGAATAGAATTTATGTAAACGTGAACAACAACAATGCGATTATCTCAGTTGTGGAATTTGATGAATTGCATTGAGTGAACACACACGCCAGTTATCATCCCTTTTAGGGTGTGATTACCCAAACACAGCCATTAATTAAATTCAAAATTGTTATTTGCTATGTCAGTATTTTGTTTTGAGAAGCTATCACAACGAAATTCTACAAAAAAAAAAAAAAAAAAAAAAAAAAAAAAAAAAAAAACAAACAAAAAAATAGTATTTTGCCAATTCTACAAATATCGTAGGATGTGGGCAAAACGAATGAAATCATTAAATATTTGATGTAAACAAATGACCTTTGAAAACTGAATGTTGGCAAAATAAAACAAAACATATTTGCATTTCTCCTTCCCAAGAACCCACGCTATATTTTGTTAATAAATATTAATTTATATATTGATATTGACGAACTGATTTGACAGCGATTTATTCTATTACCACTATGTGTTGCTGTATTATGTAACACATCGAAATATTGGTCCCCGACATAGGAAACTATATATGGTTCTTCCTATCTCGCCGATGTAGCTATATATGTCCGTCCGTAGGTCTGTCCAAGTTAATCTGTAATCACACTACAGGTCGCAACTATGGACTGATCGCCGAAATTAAAAACGGAGGTGGGGTTAGGGTCAGAATAGAGGCCTATTGTTTTTGGAGATGATCGTAAAATATTTAGGGGTTGAAATTGACGAAAAACAGAAACATTTCCTGATTTTGCTGTTGCTTTACAGGGCACAATTATGGATAAATCGACGCGGAATTGTTCATGGAGTTAGAGTTTAGAACTGGGCAGAAGCCTACCAATTTGACCATCACAGCGATGCTGATAGCAAAGGTATGGGATATGTAGCGAAATAGGTACAATCTATATATTTCTTTTACATATAGATTTTACCTATATATTAGTTATACTGCTTATAAGTCAGGAATCGCCGGACTGATTTTCTCAATTCTCATCAATTCGGAATGGTCTCTTGTCAGAAAACAATAAAATACATGCCAATAAAAAAGGTGAATATTTTTTTTTTTTCAATTTTTGTCAAATTTTTATTATGTACACGTCGCAATTATCGTCCGATCCTCACGAAAATTTGCCTGAGTTAGAATTAACGCCATTTTTTGAAGATACATGAAAAAGTTCAAAAATTACTATTTTCCGGATTTTGCAGTCGCTCTACAGGTCACAATTGAAAACCAATCGACACGGAATTTTGCATGATAAGAGATTTAAGAACAGGCATTTCGGATGACCATTGAATTATATTTAGCTATAAAATGCCACCGGTCAAAAACTTAAGAGAACAATTGAGCAGGGCTCCATGACATCATTTCAGAAATCGATTTGGACATAAGGGGACTTCCAAAATATTGTAGTGTTTTAGGATATCAAATGGTCGGCCATGAACGTCTATAGCACATGCCTCATTGTTATACCCTATTCATGTATTGTTGTGAACAAAATTCAGGTAGCAGCGACTGAGGTGAAATTTTCCAAACAATATTTGTTTGGCCCAAGGATGAATCCTATTGAAATTGGTGAGAATCAGTTCAAATTTAGATTTAGCTTCCATATATATCTTCAAACGATTTTGAGATAATTGTGCACCAAATGGCTAATATCAGCCCAAATTTTGTCATTTCCGATGGAAGTCCGCCCAAACATAAGTACTTCAAATATTGGTGAAAATCGCTTTAGATATACCTATAGCTCCCATATATATGTATCAGCCGATTTGGTGTTGAAGTCCCACAAATGTGTAGCACTACACAACAATGATATTTGATACCGGACATCGGATACAGCTCAAAAATACCTCTCCCAAATTGTATCGAGATCGGTTCAGATTTTTATATAGCTTCGATGTACATCTTCATCCGATTTTAGGGTTATAGTCCAGCATATCTATAATATCAAACTAAATTGGATAGATTTTTTTTTCAATCGAATTTTTCCATTTGGTGAAACTCGGTCCGGTTTATCTATTGCTCCAATAAATATTTTTTAATGTTATGTGGCACTAGAGCAGAGATGGTCCGTTTGACCTGTCATATACCTATATAGAAAGTAAAAAAGTGTAACACCTCATAAACTGCTAAAATATTTTAATATCCCACATAACACATCGTAAGTTTGTTGGTAACGTTTATGTCGTACTATTGAACCTCGCTGATCATAATGATGATAATTTCCTACTATCCAAATCTGGCAAAGTTAATATAACTTTGCTTAAAAAGTTGATATAACTTTGCTTAAAACCTGAGGTTAGATTGCTATTCTATGAAAATAAACGAGCTCTACTAAATACGAAGAGTGGTGTAGGGTATCATATAGCCGGTCCGGCCCGAATTTTCAACTCAGCCCATAATATTCCACTATTTAAGAACCCCATCATTGCCATACAAAAATTCTGTCATTGTTTTAATTTTTTTCTTTTTTTTGATTTCTCGTCACCACATCTTTGCTGCTGTTGGCGTCTTCTCTCAACTACCAGCAATTGGTTGTCGCTGCATCAGCCCCAAGACAATTTCTTGCCATTCTTGTCTGCTCAACATAAGAAGATCTCAGTATTGCAACTTGTTGTCTAGCAGACAGCCTGTCAGTCTCTGTACTTTACTTTAAAGGAGATGTGATGCCATATAACTATGTCATAGTGTGTGTCTGTGTTTTTAGGCAATGTTGTTGGCTCTGTTTATTCTTCAAGTTTTTGGTAAGCTATTTTGCACAATTTATGACATTCATTGAGTATTTCGTGTAGTTTTGTTTTGTTTCTATCGCTGTTGTCTCTGTGATCATATCACCAATTGTCGGTGGAACACCAGCCAGCATTTTTGCTTTTGTTTCAATTGTTTTAATGTTTCCTTTGTTTCTTGGCGCGGGATTGCCTCTTTCGCAAAGTGTGAAACAATTTCGTACAACAAAAATATGTGTATTTTTGCATATTTTATTTGTTGTCATTGTTATTGTTTTCTATTGTTAGTGAGAGTTTAGAGTGTCTGCTTGAACCATGAACTGATTTTTCACAAAGTGTGTGTGTGTGTGTGCAATATTGGATTATGGGCCTATGGTAAAATGTGTACTGCTAAGGGGGCTTGACATCGTAATTAAATTTGGTGTTGAGATGTGTTTTTTGAATGACAGCGAACATCTTCTGGGGTAGTTATGTTTTCCATATTCTCAATCGAGAAATAAATAAATGGATGAACTTTAAAAATATTTATTGCAGATCTGCATATATTTTTTTTTTTGGCAGAATTACATCCTAAGATAGATCAATAGATCTTTTCGTCTGTATTATAAAAATGAAAAGCAATTGAATGACTTGATCAACGCCCAGACGAGACGGATGAAGCATGACTTATGAAGATATTTTAGAAAAGTACTAAAAGAACTATATTTGGTACTATTAAACTTGGAATTTCGAATGAAAATCAAGGATTTGGGTCATTTATACGAAAAGTACCAAACGGTACCAAAGTTGGTACAATTCGAATTTAAAGGAACGGATGGAGGTAGAATTCAGAAAATTTAAATTAATGTTACTGGGAGAGAGTAGAATTGGATTGGAATGGAAATAGGTTTCCAAATTTGTACTTATGTGCACGAACAGCACTAAATTGTACTAAATTTGTACACTTTCGATTTAGGTGAACCGATAGAGCTGGAAATCTGAAATGTAGAATGTAGATTACTATTGTATTCCAGAGCGGGAAATTAGTACTTATGTGTACTAATTGGTACTAAATTTGGTACAATTTAAATTTTGGGAGGACCAAAGAGTTGGAATTCTGAAATTTGGAAATAACATTTCTATGGAATTGTATGATTGAGATACGGAGATAGTTTTGGAAGTTTTGAGTAGTGTAGGATTGGGATGTGTAGGAAGTTTGGAAATTCGTACTTATGTGTAATTAATATAAGAATAAAGTACTTAATTTACTGATTGGCAGGCATTCCTACTGAATCATCGATTCATCAACGCCCAGACGAAACGGCTGTGTGATAGATGTGCCAAAAGATTTTTGGAAATCCCCACTATAGGTGTACGAATAGTATCAAATTTGGTACTATTTCGTATCATGTGAACGGTTAGAGCTAAAATTTGAAATGGGAAACAAGGTTGAGGGGTTGGGTTGATCTAAGGAGGTAGTTTTGAGAACGTGTACTCATGTAAACGAAAAGTACTAAACGGTGCTAAATTTTGGTACAATTCGAAATTGGAGGAACGGATGGAGCTGAAATCCTGAAATTTTAAAGTAACATCACTTGCGGAGAGAAGGATTTGGATATGGAATAGTTTTAGAAATTTGAACTTATGTGCACGAAAAGTAATAAATGGTTTTAAATTTGGTACATTTTCGGTTTGTATGAACCAATAGAGCTGGAATGCTTAAATTTGGAAAAAATATTACTATTGCATTGCAGGATTGGGGTATGTAGGAAATTTTGGAAGTTCGTACTTATGTCTAATTAATAAAAGAGTAAAGTAATTGACTGACTGTGTGGCGACCGTGTTTGCGATGGTCCTTCCTACTTTTGTGTGTCGCGGTGATAGTTGTGTTCATTTGGTTTAGAATAAGTGTGACTGCCGTGGGTTGCCGGATGGGATGGACCTATACGATGAAGACGTCAACTGAGCTAGTTGGTCCCCCAAATCTGGTTAACGCCTAAAGCGGCACGTAACAACTGACTGACTTAATGATTTATCAACGATCAGACTTAGCTTAAGCTAGAATCTTGAAATTTTTAGTCC